ATAATTGTGCTATAGCTACTCTTTAAAGATCTTTTTATTTTGAAAGTAACATAGACTCACAAAAAATTTTAAAAATAATAAAGTTGCATGTACTCTTCCCTCAATGGTGACATCTTATATAGCTGTGGTATGATATCAAGATGAGGGAACTGACATTAGTACATTGCTGTTAACTAGTCTATAGACCGTATTCAGATGTTATGGTTTTTAAAAGGCAAAAGATTTATACGATCTGAAGAGAAACCAGAGTATAGATGTTATAGTTTTTAAAGCTGCATTCTTGTGTGTGGGTACACAGTTCTGTGCAATTTTATATCACGTATACATTTGTGTAACCACCATTACAATCAACATACGGAACTGTTCTGTTACCACAAAAGAACTCCCTCATGCTAACTCCATCCCAGCTCCTGTCCCTGTCACCTGGCAACCACTAATCTATTTCCCATCTCCATAATTCTGTCATTTCAAAAATATTACATAAGTTGAATCATACAGGATGTAACCTTTTGAGCTTGACATTTTTATACTGAGCATAATGCCCTTGAGGTCCATCCAAGTTGTTGTATGTATTAATAGCTTGTCCCTTTTTGTTGCTGAGTAATATTCCATTCGATGCACTAGAATTTATTTAACTATTTATCCACTGAAGGACATTTGGGTTGCTTCCAGTACTTTTTAACTAGCGGTAAAGCTGTATTTTTGTATGATATAAGTTTTCATTTCTCTGGGATAAATGCCCAAGAGTACAATTGCTGGATCATATGGTAAGAGTATGTTTAGTTTTGTAAAAAATTGCCAAACCATTTTCCGTATCTGTAGCATTTTACATTTCCACCAACAATGTGTAAGATCTTCAGTTTTCTCCACATCCTTACAGGGTTTGGTATTATCATTACTTATTTTAGCCATTCCAATAAGTATATTGTTTGCTTTTAATTTTATCACTAGTTTCCTCTAGATAAGATCCATATCAGTATTCTAGCCTAAATGTTTTCTATGATCCCAAATCATTCATCATCTGGTCTCTGGAAAATGTGCAACATTAAAAAAAGAAAAACTGACCTTTGAAATATTAGGTGAGTCTGTATATTTAGCAAAACCAAATGAAAAAAAAAGAGTTCTAAAAGCTCACATTTAAAATTTAAAATGTTACAATTAAATACAATGTTAAAATGTCACAATAAAAATTAAAATGTTAATATCTCAAACACATAGTGTCACAAATTTATAAATTTTGTATATTCTTAGAAAAAAATTCTTACTGAAGAAAATTGTGGGTTTTTTAGCAAAAGTAAAGAATACAATCCCTCTTTAGAAATAAAATGCTGAGATTATTTTTTTAGTTGGCGATATAGATTTTTATTTTTGAACATTGCAGCTGTCACTTTCGAGATATTCAAAGTAGGCTGGAAAATAAATTTAGGTAAAAGAGTGAGTTGATGATAATAACATTCTTTTTTTTGTATTTATTTGAGCTCTCACCTAACTTTTACTTGTTGTCCCTCACCATTAATTATCCTTTGCCAAGGATCTTTATAGACATTTCTCCAAAGATGACATAAAAATGGCCAACAGGTATATGAAAAGGTGCTCAAAATCACTGCTCATTAGGAAAATGCAAATCAAACCCACTGTGAGACACTACCTCA